ACCCTGGGATCATGACCTGAGCCAAAATCATGAGTCAGACACCCAACTGAGCCCCCCAGGCACCCCGTGCCTCCATATTCACAGGGCTTCTCCTCTGTGTCTGTGTCTCTCCTCTTCTGTCTCTGATAAGGTCATTTGTCATTGCATTTATTTTTTTTCTTTCTTTCTTTCTTTTTTAACAGTAGCTGTGACTTCTTTTTTTAATTTTTTTCTAACGTTTATTTATTTTTGAGACAGAAAGAGACAGAGCATGAATGGGGGAGGGTCAGAGAGAGAGGGAGACACAGAATCTGAAACAGGCTCCGGGCTCTGAGCTGTCAGCACAGAGCCCGACGCGGGGCTCGAACTCACAGACTGTGAGATCATGACCCGAGCTCAAGTCGGACGCTCAACCGACTGAGCCACCCAGGCGCCCCTCATTGCATTTAGAGCCCCCTGGACAATCCTGGATGATCTCATTTCAAGATTCTTACTGTAATCACATCGCAAAGACCCTTTTTCCAAATAAGGTCACACTCACAGGTTCTGGACACTAGGATTGGAACACGGACATACATGGGGGACCCACAGTTTCCTTCTCTGAACTGTCCTTTTCCAGGGCCAGCCGTGTCCCACTGCAGATCGCCCCCTACCTTCCCAGGGACTGGTCCCCCCAGAGTGCCTCATCTGGGGAGCGAGGGCCTGGGGCACCTCCGGTAGGGGAGTCGGATGGAAGGCGGTTCCCCAGCAGAGAGGGACAGGTGGTGACCCGTCATCCCTCAGAGATCATTAGTTGCGCAGCTGGGACACGCACCCCGTGTACGGCGGATACGTGGAGAGTCCCCACTATTCCGTGGTTATTCTGGGGACTCCAAGCGATGGCCCAGCGGGTATTCACCTCAGAGCTAGGGAGGCTCGCACACGAGACCTGGACACAGACGTCCGTGGCAGCCCTGTCCACGTCCCCCGCCTGGAATCGGCCCAGCAGCCACCCTCGGGAGAAGGATGACTGAACGTGCCACGGGCCACAGCTCCGCGTGAACAGGCGCAAGCTGGACGGCCTCAAGGCCATGGGGTCGGGGAAGGCAGGCAGCCCCAGAAGGAATCCGTGTGTAGAACGGTCTCAAAATGTCAAATCCACAGCAACAGGGAACCCTCCGTGACCTCCAGGGGTTAGGGGTGGGGAGGGCCGAGAAGGCAGCAGGTGTGGCTTAAAGGGGCCACAGGAGGGGGTCCCCCCGAATCCGGACTGCGGTAGGGCGTGTGGCTTTCCCTGCCAGGGAAAAGCACAGAACTGAGCGCACAACCCACACTCCACGCGCACGAGCAAGTCTGCGGGGGCAGGGCGCGGAGGGGACGGAGTGCAGGACGGTAGCATCAGGAGGACAGGGGACGGGCGCCGGGGGTCTCTTGAATCTGTTCTCACAGGTGCCTGTGAGCCTACAGTTCACTCCAAATACAAGGTGAAAAAGAGAAAGTGTCTGTCTTTCTTTCCAAGTCAGCCTAGAAAATGCTAACAGGCTCCTTCTGCACGGTCCCCAACCCTGAGGCCCAGCCCCAGGCCCCACCACCCTCGCTGCCCCCTCGCTGCCCACCAGGCTTCCCCCACCTCCCCTGCTGCCCCTCAGAGCAGAGACCAAACTCCCCACGCGTGCTCTGCAGACGCTTAGCCGGCTGCCACACAGCCCCAGGGAGGGCAGCCGGACAGGGCAAGGAGGGGGCTCTCTTGGCCCCTCAGCACCCCAAGTGTCCACAGGTGAGCACAGCCTGACATCTCCCCACAGCCCACTGATCCAGAAATCTCCAGGATGGAGACACGGGCTGGATGGCCCTGGCTGGGGTCAGCAGGACAGGTCGAAAGCCAGCGGCCACCCTCAGGGGGCCCGTTCTCCGGGGTCCCCGGGGGAGCAGTGTCTGTTCATAACAGCTGAGTCGGCTGCTTTAGGACCAGGGCTCAGGCGCTCCAGGCGGCTGACGGAGAGCTTTGTGCCCCTTCCAAAGGCGCCAGACGCACCCAACACTCCCACGGCCCGCCCGGCCTTCCGGCTCCTTGCCCAGAACCTCAGTCCAGCCTGCGGGGCCTGGAGGAGGAGGAAGCTGCCCGCTCACGTGGGAAGTCGCATTTGGGGATCAGAACGGGGGCTTCCCGGGATGGATGCTAGGACGTGGCAGATAATAGGGCTTGAAGAGACCCCAGGGCCACCACGGAGCCCCGCCCACCCCAGAAGAAGGTCCAGAGGAGCACAGAGCCCAGGCGCAGTGGGCAGGGAAGCCGGGCCCATGGTCTCGGGGTTGGGGGGAAAGCAGGACTCAGCGGGGCATGAAGGAACCACCAAGAAACCGTCATTGCCACAGGATTTGGGGCAGCTGAGGTCCACCTGCAGTGAGTGAGTGGGACCTGAGGGGTGAGTCTGGCATGATCAAAATTAAGCAGGCTTGTTCCAGGAGGGTGAGTAGAAAAGTCACCCCGTCACCCCTAGAATGCCAGTGTGATGCTAAGGGGAACGTGCTTGACCCAAAACGACTTTACTTCCAGGGGAAAGGCCGTCCATAACCATGACGACACCTGCCCGCCGACCGCA